CGGGTCTCACGAAAAAGATATATATATATATATATAGGGGCTGGTTCAAATACTAACCAAGATTATTGTGTTAACTTTGTTAACCGATATTGGTCGTTGATTTGAACATCTAACGGTTGTGGTTTAATGAGAATAAGAATTTAATTATTTATTTAATATATTAATTAATAACATGTGAACAATGGATTCACAGGATAAAAATGTAAAAAGACGTTGTTTACATGAATCACAGAGCCTGATCACATGTTCATGTGAACGCATTGTGCATATGTATCGAAATGAACAACGACATGACATACTACTCAAAAATCATGTTCATATTCATGTGATGTAAGTTGTGCATATGTATCGATATCCATATATTTTGCCTTTGTTATGTGTTCATATGTTGTGTGTGTCATTATGTCTTAGTATCTCTTAATATGTGGTGTAATTGTTCATGTGTGTCAATATGAAAATATAATGCATTTCATACAGCTGAACACTAATGAATCGTAACATCTCTATTTATTTGATTTGTGCAGTTTCATATGTGTTAATGTGTGTCCATATCTCTTATAATCTGTTCATATTTGTTTCGAATTCAACTATATTTGCAAGAATATTTAATGGTTCACAACGGTAATAGCTGTTTATTTAAACAAAATAAATGTCATATTAATCACTTACCAATCGGAACGCTTTGATCATCTTCTTCATCATTGGAATTCGAATTCCGACCGTAGTCGTATCTTATTTTAACTTTGTCATTTCCATTGTTATCAATATAATTTACAATAGTATTATTCATATTACTCGAACGATACGGAAATCTTTTACACTTACAAAACGAATATCATTATATGTAGAACATCACTTGAAATCACGATCATGAATACAAATGAAGATAAAAATCAGAATTGCCTAATGATCAATTAGAGGGATCTTTAAGATTTGTAACTCCCAATTAATTATTAGGGAGTTACATAAAGGTCAAATTACATAATTACCCCTTGTATTTAATTTATAAGTTACATTTGAACATAAAGTAAAGAAAAAATATCATTGGTTAGTCTTGGTTAGTATAGTTAACACAAATTTCTTGGTTAGTATTTGAACCAACCTCTCTCTCTCTCTCTCTCTATATATATATATATATAGAGAGAGAGAGAGAGAGAGACTTGGGATCATATGAGACCAAGGTTTTTTCGTGATATACTGTGATACCATTGTGATACCAACTATGATGTCAACCCAAACCTTAAAAACAAAGATACACAATGTGATACCCATTGTAATACACAGTGTGATACTCATTGTGATATACTGTGATACCGATTTCACCGGAGATTGGAGGTCGGAGAGATGAGAGAGAAGAGTTTTTTTAAAAAAAATACCTAAAATATCCTCTAATTATAATTTTAACTCAAACTAC